AGCAGGAAACCTTATGTGTAACAATCCATGTGACTCAAAACCACACTGGTTCTCCATATGATCCGGAGCAACTTACAGTATCATTCACATCTGTAAGATGGATCTAAAACCCAAGGGTTTTGAAGCAATACCATGTGACGTATTAGAATGTCTTGTAGTGGGATAAAATAAACTCAGCCCACACTGCTAAAGGTCTGTGAGTTTAAAAAGAGGGTGCTACATGGCAGTGCTTACTTTATACACAAGATTTTCAAGACTGTCCCTCGGCAATGGATATCTCTTCTTCAACTGGATGCACCCACCCATCCTGAAGGTTTACAGTCATGTGAGTGGATTCTTACATGACTCCCACCTGCCTGGGACCAGGGAGAACAGGGAAAGTGACATCTCTTTTGAAAAAGAGCTCAACGTGCCATCAGCATGGGCTCGTCACTGAGTCACTGTGGCTGGATCAAAACAAAATGTACTCTCTGCTAACAAATGCTACAAACCTGGAAAACCAGAAGAATTTGGCAAGAACTGCTTCATGTTGAGAACACTGAGAGGGCTGTGTCAGGGAGTGAAAGCCCACATGCTGCCTCTCCAGGACTCGCCAGAGACACTCAAGGAGAGATTTCATGGTCACCTCCCGCATTTACGAGTTTGTCATCCTTGAGACATCGAGGCCTTGGGGGAAAGGTGTAAGTGTGCCAGTTCCGTTGGGGGGAAAACGTTTTAAAAGATGTGCTCTGGGGGTATGTCAGACAGCAAAACCTTCCCACTGACAGGAGCAGGGAGATACCAGGAAACCCCCTAAGTATGAAAGTGGAGAGCTCAGACTGGCTCCCAGGACTTGAGAGAAAATCAAGCCAGGTTAGAAAGAATCTGAAACACTGGAACAGCATCAGACAACCTAGGGCAAGGAGTCCCTACTGATACCTGGAGCTCAGCCCTGAAATAATGCCACTAGTAAGAGGTAGAAAACACACCGATGCATGAGGCCGGGAACAAACATCTGAGCAGCGATGGGTGCCTGAACACTGTCCTGTGTGGCAGTAACTCTTCACAGAGTTGCTGACTTACTGGAAGAATAGAAACACTTGAACTGGTCAGGTGCCATGACAACTCTAAGGGGCAGCACCTAAGAGGGCAAGGATGCTCTACCTGCTGCCCCTGAGCAGAAGTGGAAGTGAGTCTTCCCTCCCCTGCTACCACCATCCCTCGTGGTGTCAGTCATCAACCTGCCTGGACCCTTCTTAAATTGCATGTCTGCATCCTGCCAGGACCACCTCTTGAGATAATGTGTTTTCGACGATTATTGCCTGCTGTGTTAAGCAGCACCTCCTTTCATTGGTTACAACAAGAAAAAGAAGAATTAGGGGTGAGACAGCAAAGAGGCTAATGCTGCTCTCATCAAGGGACAATATCTTGTTGTGGGAAGCAGAAGTGTTCAGTGGAAATCACAAGGCATTGAAGCTCTGACCATGAACTTGGGAAACCTGACGACTGCAAGGTTTCTGGGCTGATGAGAGTCACTCCATGTGTGTTTGTGAGAAACACAACTGGACAAAGGCGTAATTTATGTTAGAAAACAGCTCAAATCTCGAGTACAGCAGTGTCCTGATTCACAAGGCCCTGAGCTGATTGCAAACACACCCAGAAAAAGGAGAAACACCTGCTAGCAGACACTGGATGACTACCGTACCTCTCTGCATGGCCAGGGCTCACCAAGCACCTAGCAATCCTCAGAGAGAACAAAGTCCCCAGCCCCGGCTGACCTACCCTAAACTGAGACAAGCCACACTGAAACAAACACCATGTGATATGGTCTGAAACAGGAGAGGGGCCCGCATTGTAAAAACTGCTGAAATCCATGGAAAGTCTCTCATTTAAGTAAGAATATTATAAGAAAAATCTCGTCTGAGTTTTGACAAGGGGGGGCGCTGTTCTGTCAGAGCTATCCACATTGGGGACAAGGGAGCAAAAGGTCCAGAGGTACTGCGTCAACTCTGCAGCTTTTCTGGAAGTTTCTAAGTTCAAAATACAAGGCTGACTGAAATTAAAAGGATTTCTTTAAGCAAGCCTATTTTGTGAGTCTTCGGAGCTGCTAACGACACCAGGATCTGGCAGTCGATGAAAGGCATCAAGGTCTCTATGGGTTTGTGCTTGGGGAGGGGGGGGGTGCATGCATGTGTGCACTCGTGCATGCTGGGAACCAAACTGTGGTCCTCTGGACAAGCAGCAGGCGGTCTTACCTAGCGAGCCTCCTCCGTAGCCCTTTCTCCACATTCTGAAAGAGCACTTCTGTCCAGTCCCCCATGGCCTCCGAAGGCCGCTACACTCATCTGTGCACACCCCTGCCATATGCACATGTGCACATAACAATAAGTAAAATAAAACCTCTCTTTAAAAGTACTGGAGGGACACCGTGTCTATGCTGAGCACCCACTCCACCCCCTGCTGCTGTTCCTGGCCCCCAATTCCCTAAACAAAACCCCACAAATACTATTCAGGACATTTCCAAATCAGATGTTGAGGCAGGCCATCCCGATGTCACTCAAAGTAGACAGGAAGATGCTAGCCCAGTATATGCAACTGATGTGTCATTCTGTATACAAACGAACTTGGGCAGCCTCGGATTTGGGGGCCCAACAGGGAGGGACATCGTCCCTGGAACCATTCCCCCTTCCAACAGGGAGGGCAAACTCTCCTGGCAAAAGCAACATGAAATCCTACCAAAACACAAAATAAAGTTACTCAGATAATTACCCACCATTCACCGACTCACCTAAGTGGAAGTGTGTCGTTAGGGATAATTAGCAAGCTCATGCATAAAAACATTAATTGCTTGTTCAAGAAGATGAGATAAAAAGGCAAGACAAGGAAAGATTAAGGACCTGAATAGCATCTAAAGGATAGTCTATCAAATTTCTCCACGAGCACTGACGGAGAGAATGAAAATATATTACTGATTAAAAAAGTCTCACCTTAGAAAACTGGGAGGGGGTTGTCTGAATCTTAGGAAGATGAACCATCGTGTCTGTCTACCCAATGCTACGGCTAAGAACTTAAACACCTCTTTTTAAAGGCCGTGGGTGAAGACTTGGTTATCATACTACTGCAAGGTGGTGGCACCTTCATAGGTGGGCCTGGTGAGTGGGTGAGGTCACTGCAGGATCCCAAAGGGGATATTGAGGTACAGGTCCTCCCCTCTGTGTGCTTCCCACCCACCCTGAGGTAGATGAACCTCTCACGGCGTGCTCCCACTGTGGAGCACTAAGCTACCACGGGCCCAAAACATCAGAGCACAGAGGCCAGGGGCTGAAACCTCTGATGATCATCAGCCCTAATCACCTCTCTCTCGCTTCAGGTTGATTTTCCTTGGATATTTTACCACACGGCAGAAGGCTAGCACACAGAAGAAAAGCTGTCAGAAAGGCTCTATAGAAATACAGTCTGCTGAAATACCTCAGCAGGTGGTTAGAGAAAATCAAAACGGCCTCTGGCTCAAAATACTAGATCTCAACAATGATACTGTTGTCAACTGGACAAAACCTAGACTCATTTAAGAAACGGGACACCTGTGGGAGGTTACCTTGTTTGCCTTAACTCAAGTGGTTAAGAGCCGCCCACTGTGGGCGGCACCATTCCCTGGGCAGAAGCCTGGACTGTTCCAGCTGAGAGGAGCTGAGCTGAGCTTAGGTGAGCAGCAACTGTCATTGCTCTGCTTCCTGCTTGTGGATATGAACCGCCAGCTGTTTCAAGCTCTTGCCACTCTGACTCTGCCACCAACCTGGTCTGTACCCTTGAACTGTGAGCAGAGTAGACCCTTTCTCCTTGAAGTTGCTTCAGTCAGCGTACCTTACCACAGCAACAGGAAAAAGTCAAGATGCCAGCCAGCCACTCTTACACCTCAACTGAAGGCTTAAGAGGTTACACAGTCCCTCATCGTAAATAATCGGGACACATTTTTTTTTTCTCTCTGAATTTAGAATATTTACATCTAGAAAACATGAGATAGACATCAGGACCCATGTCTGAGCACAGATCTCCTGCATATCCCACACATATAGCCAGAGGTATTTTATATATTTAATGCAAACACTCATGAGGGTGCACACTCAGCGGGGAATTTTCCACTTGGGATATCATACTGGAGCTCAAAACTTTCAGATTTTGGAGTATTTCTTTTTTCCTTTTCTTTTTTCTTTCTTTTTTTTCTTTTTTTTGATTAGGGACTTTCAACCTGTAATCACAGCTCCAATTAGAAGCTCAGACTTGACACCTAAAAACAGCTTCCACTTCCCCTGCCTCCCATCAGCACCAAAAATAAAGTAAACACAACACGCAACAGGACGGCCAATCCCTTACTGTGTGCTAGTCACCGGGCCAGGTCATGGGGGTCACCTTCAATCAACAACACACTAGAAAGTCCTCAGAACAAAATCACCAATACTGATCCATAAAAAAGAAACGAACACACTTCTTGGTGGTGTTGATGGTAAATCAGATTCTTGTTCCTAATGAACTGATTCGGTTCACACTGATTACACAGTGAAGTGTGACTGAGACCTTGAATGCATGCGGTTCTGATGCTCCGTGCTTCTGAGCAGAGAAGCGCCACAGAGGAAGGGCATCAACACAGCCAGGCATTCACGCTCTCAACCCAGGCTCGGCCCCAGACAGAGCCCCAGCTGCCGACCTCTGCCTCTCCTCACCCCACTTCGGAAGATGAAATACCCGGGCTGTGTTTCCTCTTGGAAGAAACTGACAGACCCAAGGACAACCTTTGAACTCTGCCACTTGCACTTCTAACTCCTAGAAATTTTCTGATGGCCATGGAGAGACAGGGCTTGGTAAATGACCCACTTAGGCGGAGATCATCAGTAATCAAAGACGGCTGCATCGTTAGCGCTTTCTACGGCTGTAAATAACTGAAGGCCTTATTTATGGCCGCTGCAGGCAGCTTCGCAACAGTTCTCAATCCCAAACCCCAGCTGAAGGAGGCACACTGTACTTACAGTTACGAATGTTATTCCAGTCGGTTCTGGCAAAGAAAGGGTGGCAACAGAGACCCTCGAACTTCAGTCTCTCTTTCTGGACACACAGCAAACTCTGAAGCAGATCAAGGAGATCACTGCTAACTTTGGGGTCATCTGGGAACTTCAAAAAACACTATTCAAAAAAGAAAAAAAGATTTCCTTAGCCGTGATTCTGTTCATGTCCTGAAGCGAAGAGGGGAGATGGCTCACACATGCAGGCTCCTTTCATTCTTTTTTTTTTTTTTGAATAAAAAGTTTTGTGCTCTTATAACTTTAGACCAAAGGCATGTTCCAGAAATAAGTGGCCTGCTCACATTAGCAGGCCTAGTCCTTTTGTTGGGGTTCAACGTCCTTTGTGACTTGACCTGTGCATCGCTCTCCCGTGGAAGCTCCCACACTCCCCATCTCTCTCTCTCTGTTGTCCGACAGCAATGAGCTATTTCGAGCTCCCTGTACAGCTCATGCTGTTCTTGGCCTAGAACCAGCACCGCCCTGCAGCTCGCGCTGGCCACTTCTCCACCTGCCATCCCCTCTGCATTCCACACTTCTTTGCATTTGTTTCTTTTCTTTTCTTTTCTTTTCTTTTTTTTTTGTTTTTCGAGACAAGGTTTCTCTGTGTAGCCCTGGCTGTCCTGGAACTCACTCTGTAGACCAGGCTGGCCTCAATCTCAGAAATCTGCCTGCCTCTGCCTCCCAAGTCTTGGGATTAAAGGCCTGCGCCACCACTGCCCGGCTCCAGATCCTTTTTTTTTTTTTTTTGAAACAGGGTGTCATATAGCACAGGCTGGCCTCAAACTCAAAATATAGCCTGGGGGTTGGAAGTCCTTGAACTCCTGATCCAACGGCTACCGCCCACCCACTTGTGCTCCAACTCTGTACGGCTGGCCGGCCATGATGTGCTGTGTGGCTTCTGAGGCACGGTGAGGAGAGAAGGTGGAGACGGCTCCCTGATCACCGCTGATGACCTGGCTCCTAGTGGGACCTAAGGCAGCTCAGCTAAGCCTGGGTTACTGACCTGAGGTGGAGGATGGGAATGAGCTCCAAGGGTTATCGACAGAGAAATTTCTACTCAAGAGAAGCCTCAGTAACAGTGTTTGTACAGAATAAAAAAACAAACCCCGCAGCAACCATTCCAGGGAAATGAAAATTGGGTGATAACAGGATTTGAAGGAATGAGGCCTCTTTACTCCTTTAAGCTAAAGCTAAAAATCAGGTTCGTCACAGCCTTTAGAAACGGGCTTAACGAAGCGCGAGTCTACGCCATAGAGGGTGGTGTTACTTCTACTCCAGACGTGCTTGTGTGTGTACACAGACATATGTGACTACAATCCTAACTCGTCTGCTCCCTTCCTCAGAATCAGACAGCCTGTGCCGCCTCAGGCCGTCCCTCAGTCTCTCTGGCTCAGTCTCCTCACCAGCGTGTGAGGTGGTGATCCCTCTGGGGGGTGTTTGAAAAAGAAGACAGCCAAGGAGCTACCTGGTGGAGTCCAAGACTCACACGTGTGCACATCTGACAACCGAGAACTCAAGGTGCAGTTCGCAATCAATAAAAGATGGAGCCGGGTGGCAGCCGTTTGTCCTCTTTGGTGTGACCTAACGTGAGGAGGCGCCCTCCCGATGACTGGCCCTCAAGAGAAAGCTCAGAGCTGCTCTGCTCTGCACCTCAGCATCACTTCAAATCCCAACGACCCTTCACCTGGAAGTTCATGATGTTGTTGAAGGTCCGGGCAGAGGTTCCCTCTGTGAACGGGGTCCTCCCGTAAACCATCTCATAAGCCACCACTCCCACAGACCACCAGTCACACTCCAGGCCGTAGGTGCCCCTTCGGTCCTCGTTCATCACGGTCAACACTTCCGGAGCCATGTAATCCGGGGTCCCAATGGGGAGTTTGGCGTCCACCTGGAAAGTCAGAAAGTAAAATGGACACAGCGCCCTCTCGATTACCTTCCAGTGGGTGCCAACACCAGCATCAGACGCCAGCCGACTGGCCACTACTGATTACTGCCTACCCAGGCGTTTAAACCTTGTGTCGAGTGGCATGCTGTCAGGAAATGCCAATGCTCTACTGACGTTTAAAAGGACAGGGTGGGGTGTGTGCCTAAAACAACACAAAGGCAAGCCGGGTTTGTTGATGAAGGATTCATTACCCAACTGTTTTATGGTGGATTTCCCGGTACAAGCTACTGATATGCCAGAACTTCTTGGCAGTACTGAGGAACTGGACCCAGGGCCTTGTTCGAGAGAAGTAAACATTCCTTCTGCACCCGAGCTACATTCCCAACTCAACAGAACTTATACTTCTTCTATTAAAAAATAAAAAAATGGGGCGGTGGTGGCGCACGCCTTTAATCCCAGCTCTTGGGAGGCAGAGGCAGGTGGATTTCTGAGTTCGAGGCCAGCCTGGTCTACAGAGCGAGTTCCAGGACAGCCAGGGCTACACAGAGAAACCCTGTCTCGAAAAACCAAAAAATAAAAAAAAAATAAAAATAAATAAAAAATATAAAATATAAATGGCAAAATGGGGCTGGGGAGATGACTCTGTCAGAAAAGCATGAGTGTGGAGACTTCAGTTCGAATCCCCAAGACCTGCATAAGAAACTGAATGTGGGGGTGGTGCACTGGGGAGGCTCACGTGAGGGGACCCCAGGGGCTTGCTGGTAGCCAAGCTAGTAAAACTGGTGAACCCTGGATTCAGTGAAGAAGAGACCCTGTGTTGACCTCTGGCCTCCCTACCCATGCACACACACACACACACACACACACACACACACACACACGTGCACACTCACATTCACTGCATATGCAGAGAGAGGGGGGAGGGGAGCGAGAGGGGGAGAACGATGAACATGGATCACAAAGTCTCAATATGCATCTATGACATAAGACCAATGATCTATCCATGAGAAACTGGAGGCTGGCTGGCAACACAAGACAGCACAAAGTCGGACAACAGTTCAAGTCTGGGGAAAAAAAATGGAAACAGGCCTTGGGACCCGCTTCTACCTTCAGCCCACCTACGGGGCAGTGTGAAGAGTAAGTCCCAGGCAGGCTGCATGTTAATGAGATGGCCTTCCTCATTCCCAAATACTGCTCCTATGGCCCCTCACTGTTTGAAAACCAGGTCCCTCCAACCCACTAGCGCCCCGGCACTGCCCTTGGCAAAGACAGACCAGGACACTGTGGGAAGTCTTTTGACAGAGTCAAGTATATCCATTACAGGGACGGTCCCCATCTCCTAAGAATTTCTGTTTTACTGTTGAATGCCTTTGTTTCTTGAAATGATTCTGATCAAAGAGTCAGCCTCCCTGACCCTCGCTGGGGATCCATTAAGTCGGCAACCCCTCTCATCTTCAAAACTGTTTTTCAAGTTTTACTGAGCAGAAAATGGGAAGGTCTGAGGACACCTGTCTATCCGCCCGTCTTTCCTCCTGCCCATCAAAGCAGAGAATGACTTCAGATACAGAGTGTTGACAGCTGCCCTGGGACCATAGCGTCTGTGGTCTTCCCTTAGATCAGCAGTTAGATGGTATAGACAAACTTATTATTAAAGGATAAAAAGTGCCCCCAACAGAACCCAAAGATCTGGGGGCTATGGCCATGGTCCCTTAAGGCTGGACTTTACATCAAGAAAGCAGATTTAGGCCAGGCATGGTTGACATACGAGTTCTGTTCTAGGCCAAACAGGGTTTGCATAGCAAGACCTGCTGAAGGAAAGGAGGAGGGTAAGGAGGACAAGAAGGAGGAAGGAGAAGAGGAGAGGGAGGGAGAGGAGGAAGAAGAGGAGGAAGGAGAAGAAGAGGAGGAGAAAGAGGAGGAGGGATAGGAGGAAGGAGAAGAGGAGGAGGAGGGAGAGGAGAAAGAAGAAGAGGAGGAGGGAGAGGAGGAAGGAGAAGAGGAGGAGGAGGGAGAGGAGGAAGGAGAAGAGGAGGAGGACCATGCTGGCGAATTTGCTTTGCTTTGATTTCAGAGCTTCAGGAGAAAGGGGAAGTTGTGAGGGCTGGCACTACAAAGCCTCCTTGCCCAGTGACGGGGTTACATGGAGCTCTTTCAACTATGACGTCAAGTGTGTCCATCCTCCTACCCGAGGAATGAGGTTATCTCATTCCCTCGCTCGCATGTGTAGGTGTACATACGTGTGCATATGTGTGGATATGAACATATAAAACACATATAAACACTGTGATTATCCCATTCCTTTTTCACATGGATATATATGAGGAATATCAGAATATTTCTGTAGCTTTCATACTCTTTCCCTTATGTATTTATAGACACGCAGACACACGTGTACCTATAATACCTTCCAATGCCGAAATGATTCCGTTTCCTGCCCTCCCGCATCCCTACCTCCTGTCCCCTTCCCCTCCCCCATTCCTCGGGCCCACACTCTCATGGAGGTTTTCCTGGCCTCCAACACAGGAAATAGTGTGAAGCTGGTATTTCTGACACTGTTCTCTGGACAACAGCCTTTCACTATAGACTCGTTTGAGAACCCGCAACAGTCACCTTGTATGGGAAACAGGCAGACCTGTGCCGGGGGCAACGGTGAAGACACGCAGGGGAACACTGAGTGCTGACAGACACACAATGTGACTTAACCTTGAACCCAAAAGGAGCTAGCCCTGGGTACGGCCCTGATGTCGGCAGCCTGAGCCTAACCAATTCAACCTCTAAGTCTCTTGAAAGAGCTCGGACCATGCCATTGTCACTTAACATCCTCTGCATTGGTTAGAGTCTGTTTTACTGCCATGTGGGATGTTCCAGAATGTTCTGTCCTCCTTGTTGGCAGGGTCACTTGTTCACGTCCAGTGAGCTGACCCTGGCCAGGTGACACAATCAAAGGGTATAAACTGTCAACACCTCATTTAAGTCAGACAGTCCTGCAACTCAACTCCTCTTATCTCAGAATAGAAATGTGTAGATATACTTACATATCCTAATTACTTATGCCTGATAACTATCTAAATTCCATTAGCAATCTGAGCTAGAAAGCTATGAAGGCAAACTTGCTGGTGGTGTCCTCTGCATGCAACTTCAACCACAGTGCTCGTTAGCGGCTGACAAAGGGTTCACTGATTACCAAGTTTCTGTTGGCCACTGACTTCCGTCCCAGCATCGCGCGCTCTCATGTGGTCATGAGGGCTTCCCCACAAGCTCTCCCTCTCTTCTGACTCTAATACAGCAGCCAATCTGAGTGAGATATTCAAAGTGTCCTAGCCACTCCAGCTGCCCAGGCGGCGCACTGTCTGACAGGACCCGGGTATTGTTCAACTTTAATTCTTACTCCGCTGACAAAGAAAATAAAACCAGTCCAACAGAGACACAAGAGCCGGAGACGGAGTGCCTGCCACGTTTTAGGAAGAAAGGGAAAAAAAGGCAGTGAGGAATGGTGGACAAGCAGAGTACATCTGGAAACTCAGCAGATTCTTTTTGGAAATGGAGGAGCCTGAGTGGCGGTTCTGCGGCAAGGAAAGCACGCAGGCAGTGGTGGCGCACGACTTTAATCCCAGCACTCGAGAGGCACGGGCAGGTGGATCTCTGACTTTGAGACCAGCCTGGTCTACAGTTCCAGGACACTCAGGGGTACACAGAGAAACCTTGTCTTAAGAAACAAACAAATAAAACAAATGAAGAACACATGGTGATCCCACAGAGGAGACAGTTTGGCTTCCAGCACCCAGAGCAGGAGGCTCCACACCACCTGAAACCTAGCTGGGGGATGGCGGGTGAGAATCAGACGCCCCCTCCTGGAATCTATGGGAACTGCATATGCATATTACATATCATCACAAACATACACATAATTTTTACATAAATCTTTAAAATATGGGAGGAAACTATTCTCTTTACACCATTGCCATACGAGGCTGAGATGTGAAATTATGTAAACAATGTTTCCTCGTAGCACTCATGCTCACACACATATGCACACAAGTGCACATGCACACACACGGACACACACCTGCAGAAGTAGGAGTAAGTCTCTGTTTCTCTCATTTCTAGCTGTGGGGTTGGGAAAACCTACACACACCCCCACCCCCAGAGTTTGGGTCCGAGAGAAGGGGTAGAGGAAGAGGAGAGGGCCGAGCCACAGGAGCGATTCCTCTACATCTATGTGACAGGCACTCTTCTGTCTATAAAGACACAAGACAGGGAACAGGAAAACAGCGGGAAGGGAAGAAGTCTTCCCTCCTTCTTAGGTGTGAAAAGAATTTTTGCCTCTGGGCTTCCAGCTCCTGGAGACCGATTACTACGCACACTCATCTAGTTTTATTTAAAAGCCCCTTTACATCTAGTTCCCCGAGAGCCAGGAGAGGCATGTCAGCTGTCCGCCCTTCTCTGAGACTCCAATAAGGGAAGTGGGCCTAAGTCACACAGAGGGCCCTGAGGTCACCTGGCCCATGGTCCTGCTGACTAAGGGAAAGTACACTGACACTGTCTTCTGAATGAGAGGCATGAAATGAAGGTGACAGGGGCTGGAAACAATCACCTGACTCATCTAAGACTTAAATCCTCACATAACAAGAGGACGTCTGGAAATGAACAGAGGTCCACGGACTTCCAGGTGACGTGCAAGGAATTCAACACCTGTGAACTGAGAGGCATGCGTGTGCAAATGTGAACTGGGAGGCATGCGTGTGCAAACGTGAACTGGGGGGCATGCGTGTGCACATGTGAACTGGGAGGCATGTGTGTGCACATGTGAACTGGGGCGCATGTGTGTGCACATGTGAACTGGGAGGCACGAGTGTGCAAATGTGAGGAGGATGACACCGGACACACTTTCTACACACACGCACACGCACACACACACACAAAACACCACCCCACCAAGCATGTAGAGGTCACAGGACAACTTGCAGACCTCAGTCCTCCCCTTCCTGCTTGTGGGTTCGAGGTAGAGAACTCAAGTTCTCAGACTTGGCAGCAACCACCTTTAACCTGCTGAGCCATCTTGCCCGTCCTTCTCTGCCTTGTTTTTTGAGAGAGGATCTCTCACTGATCCTGGAGCTCACTGCTTCTCCAAGGCTAACTGACCAGGCCCAGGCTCCCCGGCTCTGGAGTCTCACTGTGCACCATCATGCCTGACCTTTTCACGTGGGGCTGAATGCAGGTCCTCCTGCTCACAAGACAGCACTGTACCAAGAGTCATAGCCCCAGCCCAGACTGTAGTTTATAGTACAGTCATAATACAGAAACTGAGCAGAGCCTACGTTAGGCCTATAAACTAGCTACCCAGCGTGAACACGGTCGGCTCTCCACCCACCATTAATCAGAGACAAAGCAATAGAATTTCTCCTCGATCAGCCCACATGACGTAGACTCTGAACTGCTGTTCATCTACAATAAAAGGACCCTTATATTTAACACTGCTAAAGGGGCTGGGGAGATGGCTCAGCGGGTAGAGCATGTGCCAGAGGACCTGGATTCTAGGGCCGGAATCTACGGAGAGCCAAGCACGGTGGCAACTGCATTCCAGCACTCCTAAGAATCCCCCGGAACCCACTGGCTGGCCAGCCTGGCGTATATATAGAAGAAACTACAAAGAGATCCCAAATCAGACAAGGTGCAACTCGAGGCCTGGCGCTGGAGGTTATCCTGACTGCTACATGTTCACACATACATGCATGCATGCGTGCACACACACTCATCCATAGATGCACGCATACCCACACATACATGCAGATCCAAACATACACACAGACATGCTTCACACATCACTCACACATGCACACTCACACACACGCTCACACCCCATACACACACATACATGCACACTCACACACACACTCACATATCTCATACACACACCCACACATACGTGCACTCACGTGCACACTCGCACACACGCTCACACCCCATACACACATACATGCACACATGCGCACACATCTCATACACACACACATAGATGCATGTGTGTGCAGACACACCGACACACCGAGACACACACACACAAACACACACACACACAATTAAATACCACAAATCTGTTAAATTGTCCTCATCCGCCTTTCGCATTCTGTCCCTAACAGCACAGGGAGGGGAGATGTGCTCTCAAGTGTGTCTGAGCATCGTGACTCCAAGACCAACAAACCCGAGTGTCTCCCGTCTGGAGAGCCGACTGCTGCAGCTCGAACTGAGGAGGCAGTGGAGAGACTGACTGCAGATTCAGGCGCAGGGGTCTGCTTTTTTTTTTTTTTTTTAAGACAAGAGTCTAGCCCTTGTCTATACTAGGTAGACCAGGCTACCCTAGAACTTGCTATATAGAGACCAGGCTAGCCTCTAACTCACAGGGCACGCTGTTCACCCTCTCATAATTCACCCAGTGGTGCTGGTAAACCATCATCTATTTTTTCTCCGTGGGCTTTTCTTACTGCAGACACACGTTGCCAACTCTCTAATTATTTAATTTTCAGAGGCTTCTCAGACCACAGTCGACATTTCCAACCCAGGGTGGGTTTTCTTGCCTCCACCCCAGGGTACACTGGGAGAGCTGAAGACATCTGGGGAGGTCATAATGGAGGGATGGGGCAGGCAGATAAAGCCAGGAGAGATCAGGGACTTAGCTAGACATCCAATCACACACAGCACAGGTCCCACAACAAAGAATTACCAAGACCCAGACGGCAATGGTGAAGGATTTACTGTCGAGCTATAAACCTTTCATCTAATATTTTCCCAAACACATCAGGTTATTAATGTCGCTAATATAGTTTGTGAGTTTCTGAATCCTAGGAAAGTTTTATGCTGTTTAATCTGTTCCCAGTGCATTTCTCCAATAAAGTCAATGTCTGTGCTTTCGCATCTATTTCTGAATCGTCCGTCCCTTGGGATGGGAAGGGAGGAGAGCCTCGGTGGGTCCCAGGGCCTCGCCCACAGAAAGTGCATCCCCTGCCACGGAGCTGCACCCTCGATGCCCTTTTTAAAAAAGATAGTAGATATGGATTTATCAGCTTATGAAATAAAATATTTCCCTGTGGTTTTTATGTCCAAACGTCCTTAATGCTATCTATTTTGGAATCTGAAACATAAAATGGCAAGACAGTGGTGGTGCACACCTTTAATCCCAGCACTTGGGAGGCAGAGACAGGCGGATTTCTGAGTTCGAGGCCAGCCTGGTCTACAGAGTGAGTTCCAGGACAGCCAGGCTATACAGAGAAACCCTGTCTCGGAAAACAAACAAACAAACAAACAAAAACAAAATCATTTGATTCTACATTTTTTTTTTAATTTTTCTGTATTACGTTTATTCATTTATTCCCTGTCGTGTGTGTGTGTGTGTGTGTGTGTGTGTGTGTGTGTGTGTGTGCAGGTGCCACCGTGCACACGTGCACACGTGGGCTCAGAGGACAGTTTGTGGAGGTGACTTGAGTTTCCTTCCTTCTACCATGCGGGCCCAGGGATGGAACTCAGGTTATGAGAACTGACAGTAAGCACCTTATCACGATGATTCATGTCATCAGCCCCTGATCACACAGTTCTTAATTTGAATACATAAATAAATTATCAGAAGGTAACCTGAGTGGCTGGAACGATGGCTCAGCTGTGAGCATTTGCTGCTGGTCTAAAGGAACCAACTTTGAGGCCAGGCAGGGCACAGCATCCTGTAACTTTAACTTTGGGGAATCTGTCGCCCTCTTCTGGCCGTCTCAGGCATGCACACATGTGGCACATATTCACACACACACAGTCACACACACACACACACAGTCACACACATACACACACAGAGACACACACAGAGACACACACACAGATAAAAATAATAATGCCAGGTAGTGGTGGCGCACGCCTTTAATCCCAGCACTTGGGAGGGAGAGGAGGGAGAGGCAGGGGGATCTCTGTGTTTGTTGCTAGCCTGGTCTACAAAGTACGGATTTATTTGCTCTAGTCATTTGAAGTCTAAGGAAGCTTTTCCCTTAGACCTGTCCTTCCTACACAAGCAACCTCGAATTTACATTTCACTAGGACAGCCAGGGCTACACAGAGAACCCCTGTCTCAAAATCCAGTAATAATAACAAATAATAATGAATCTTTTTAAAAGAATAGAACCTTAAAATAAAAAGAAAGTAATGCTGGATTTGGGCAGCATGGAGGCTGTTTTCCTAGAGGCCTAACGCTAAGTAAGTTACCTCAGAAAGTTCTCAGAGCGGCAGAACACACAAGACCAGATTCCAGAGTGCACAGAGCTAACACAGCTCTGAGCCTTTTCCTAATATCAACCTAATAATATCCACCTTTCCCAGAGGAATCTGGGGATGAAAAAGTAATTTTACATATTGTCCTTCATATAAAGGACTTAAGTCTCAGGCCTGGGGGTGCTCTGAAGAGCGGTCTCTCCAACCTCTGGTTTTATGCATTTTAAGTAGAATCTACAGCTTCTAGAGAGAGGATTTGCTCCAGTCACCAAGCGGCTCAGACTGGAAGCTAAGGAAGCTTTTCCCTCAGACCTGCCCTTCCTACACAGCCAACCTCGAATTCACATTTCACTAGGAGCCTACTTTATGAGAGGATTCTTAACTCTTTGTCTTCTTAATTTGGTCATCTTCCTTGAAAGCAGCCTCAGTCTTGCTCTCAGAGGCTCCTCTCCTGGCTTTCTATTAGCATGTGCAACGTGACTTAACTTTTCCAACGGCCCAAGACTTGAAAATGATTCTGTGAATATCAGCATCCTGATACCTCAGGACATTTAATTCCCAGTCTCTAGTGCTAGTGACGAATTTCAATTTCGCAGCATATGGAGAGCATTTAAGAAAAAGAAGGTCATATCTCATCAAAATATTTTAAAATGAAGCATGATGACATAACAGAACACAGTCTCTAGAAGGGAAAGGAAGGGAAGGGGAAGGGGAAGGGGAAGGGGAAGGGGAAGGGGGAGGGGGAGGGGGAGGGGGAGGGGGAGGGGAAGGGGAAGGGGAAGGGGAAGGGAGAAACAAATGAGCATTTTCCTTTCTTTTTAAGGAAATAAGAATATCCAGAGATGGCAGGGTACTAACAGGTATTAACATAAGGGCAGTGCCATCTGGGGGACATCCCTGAACCCTCCATCCCCACTCCTACCCCCAGAAGAGTCAAACCCTGGCAGAGGAGGCCTGAAGTGCTGCTCACCATGGTATCCTGTCAGATTCATGAGGACCCCAGAAGGCTCTTTACCGTATGGAACCCCTGAGCTGGCTCACTCCACTTTCTAATCACCTTATTTGAATTCATCTTAGCAGCTGATCCAAAATCCACCAGCTTGATGTGTCCCGTCCGGTCGATAAGGATGTTCTCTGGCTTGATGTCTCTGTGAGAAGGTCACGGCCTTAGATTAGCATTGTGTTTCTGTCAGTCAGCCACCAGCTACTCATGGAAGCCAAAAGCCTTAGTTCATGTGTTATGCTAGGCAGACCTTCCCTACTGGCAGAGATGAGTGATTAGCACCCGTCTTGAAAACTAAATTTAACTTTTCAAAAGGGAGGGAGAAAGGAAAGCAAATGAAATATTATCAGGTGGCTGGTTTCTGCTGGAGGCTCATGTTTTTACATCGCAAAAATGAAGACCAAAAAACCCAAAGAACTTGCCCAAGGTCATCTGGTTCACAAATGGAAATGTCTTTAATTCTATAGCCCCACTGTGTGTGTGTGTGTGTGTACAAGCATGCATGTATGTATGCTATGGTGTGGACCTGCCCTCCAAACGCCCATGTGTTGCAGGCTTGGACCCCAGAATGACATGACAGGGTGATGGTGGATCCCATAAGAGGTGGCACACAGTGGGGACTCGTCAGGTCACTGAGACCTGCCTTCTGGTTTACACACTTGTCATCAATGAGAAAAACACCTGGAGAAAGAACAGTGTTGCCTTTACACCCTGCTGCAGAGGTTCGAGTCCAGCAGGTGACCTTGCTGCTTTGAGCCTGATGTGGGCATAGGATCTTGGCATCAGGAGTGTGACCGAGCAAAGCAGCTCGCTTTGTGCTGAACAGAAAATAGAGCAGCCAGAGGCCAGGACAAGGCAAACATTTCAAAGGCACCCTCCAGGGATTTACTTCCTCCACCAGTCCCACCTCCCACCTCCCAGAACTCCACACAACATCAAAATGCAGAAAGAATCTTATGTACCGTGTGCAAGCATCACCAGGCAAAAAAAAGCCAATGAGCTGAGGCAGGACTGAAAGGTGGGACATCCAGGGGGGGAGAGAGAGGATTCTGGGAAATCGGCGGGAGAGCTCTGCCCCAACACTGATGCTGACAGGCATGTGAACCTAGGAGAGGTAACTCACCTCGTGGCATGGCTGAGACTAGTTTAAGAAGGGTAACTGAGGTATGAGCTAGCGGAAACAAGCCAAAGCTACTGGGCTACACATTTATTCATATAAGAAGTCTCAGAGTCATTATTTTGGGGAACTCGGGTGGAAAACCCCAAGGTTACACCAAAGTCTGACTCCCTCGTACATTAACCTGTTAATGAAGCCAGAGTCCTCATGACCCTATCCCTCAGCATCGCAGCAGGCAACCAAGAGACACCAGCCCTGAAGGGAAATTTCAAATCATCAGAAGGACCGTCTCCTGTCACTGTGTCTCCACCACAGAGCAGGTGTCATAGATCTAACACAGGCTTTTGTCCAAGGCAACAGGACAAAGGGACCAGCGAAACCTGCACATCCGTGAGCCAGAACGGCCCTTTCTCAGTCACTAGGTGAGTACTTGGTCCAGTGAGGCAGCACTGATTAGCTGCTTTGTTAATTATCACCTTCTCTTCCCAGGATAGGAGCCGGTCCCTCTCCCTGTCACTCTGTTTTCCTACCACAGAGCCCAGAAAAGGGTTCCTGGCCCTACCAGGCTGCATCAGACACCCAGGCCTATGGTCGAATGGATGTGCTGAAATAAGATGCCAGCCATTTTGGAGAGCCGTGAGCTAGCCAATCACAGGCCAGGCTGGCTAAAACTAGATGAAGATGTCTTCTGACCCGGAAGTTACTCAGCCACTCATTTCTATGCAGGAGCCTGTATGTGATTCAGAAAACTTCTCGGTGTGTTCCTGGGCGCCTCACTTACCGATGCACGTATCCCATCTGGTGCACACTGTGGACAGCCAGAATCAGTTCAGCAAGGTAGAACTGGACCATGTTCTCATCTAATTGGTCCTCATATCTATTCAGAAGTGACAACAAATCCCCTCCAGGCTGATATTCCATGACCTGCAGAGAGTGGCAAAGCAATTCATTATTTTACACACCCAGAGAGGGAACACCTCCATCAGGCCCTCAGACAATGTAGTCACGAACCCTGGGCGAAGGACAGCAATGTGTGAGATGGGTCCTCGGGCACAGGTCCTCTGCCCGACAGAAACTGCATACATCATCCCAGAGAACAGAGAGAACATCCACAGACGCCTGCATGACGCTCGCAAGGCAAACCTGAGAAGCTGAAGTAGCCCCTCCTCCTCCGACACCCGCCCAAGTTGACACCCCAGACATTCCCTCTGTCGGATCGGGCACACTGCAGATGGATATTCCTGGAGGGCAGTCATTTCACATTCCCCTCAGCCCAGAGCAGAACTGAGGTGGCGTATGGTAAATGCAACACAAGCTTTCCCTTTTCCACTCAGTGCAGAAGCGTAAAAGTGCAGTTGATGATCTCTTATTAAAAATTTAACAGTGACTATATACCCTTTGGCCTAGCTATTCCACTCTGAACAATTTACTTTATTGGTACTTACAATGCATAGATAAAAGACAGATAAGTAAATAGACTCTCTACTCAATGCTCTATGATAAGGGAAGTGTACTCGAAAATCATCCCAACCCCCATCCATAAGAGACTCGCTAAACTATGGTTCCTCTAAATCATGGGCTCTGACTCGGATATTAAAAACACATGACTCTGGCTATTCACGCTACTGTGGAAAGCTGTCCCCAACTCAGAAAGTGACAGGGTAGTACAGGATAAAGACTAACCTCCATTTTTAATCAGAAGAAAAATTAATTTGTTGGAGTATATAAGAAATAAATCAGAATATGTAACCTCTCAGCTAAAATGCTTGGTTAGAAAAGAAAACTCCATCCTGACGAAGTGAAAGACATCAATGTGAACGTGCACACACCATGTGTGTGTGTATGTGTGTGGTGTGTGTGCAGGTGATACGTACAATAGGCACACACAAGCATTTGTACATGTGTGAACATAGGCACACACCTGCCACGACACACAGGTGGATGTCAGAGGACAACAGGGGTCAGCCAGTCCTTGATTCAATTTTGTCAGGGTCTCTTTGTGGTCTGTCACTACAAAGCCAGATGAGCTGGCCCTCCAGCTTCTGGATATCCTCCTGTTTCAGCTTCCCGCCTCCCTGAAGGATGCCTGGGCCTACCGATGCTCACACTGCGTCTGGCTTTACACGGATGCTGTGGATTTCAACTGAATCCCTCACATCTGCACAGCCAGCACTTTTTACGCTCTAAGCTAAATCTGCAGCCCTCCGTCTTTTTTTGTGAGTCAGGTGAGGCGTTCCTGAGTCCACGCATAACCGGGAGGCCGGTTAGCTTGCTCTGACTCACCTGGTGACTTCACGTCTCAACCTCTCATGGCCAGCCTCTGAGAACTCCAGATAAGACTAATCCCCTTGCTACACTGTGTGAGGGTTGAGCAAGACCTGAAAGAGCCTGGCTCAGTGCCTAGAACCAACGTGAGATCCGGTCCTTCTTCCCCTCCCTCACTGTGTGCTTCCTCTCTGGCTGCAGAGAAGCTCGGACCCACTTGACTGTGCTGCACTTCCCCCGGGGTTCTCTGACCTTTGCTCTAATGTCCATTGTGTCGGCCAGCATCAGCTTGTGTCCAGTCCTCTCAAGAAAGGACACGTTACAATGCTCCTCTGTAGAGAAACACTAAATCCACAGTGATGCTCACCATAACTGTCAACCTGATTGCACTTAGGATCACCATGGAAACACACCTGGGGGGAGGGGTAGCTGTGAGGGTCCGAACAGGAAAGACCCACCCTAGGCGTGGGCAGCACCGCTCCACAGGCAGGGGGTCCTGGGCTGTGAGCACCCGAATTCTCTCTGGATCCCTGACGGTGGACACAATGTGAGCGGTTCCTCACCATCCTGCCGCCGTGCCTTCCCCATGACCGCCCGTAAAGCAGAAGTAAAGCCTTCCTCTCTGCAGCACCTTCTTCCCAAGAATCTGGTCACAGCAATGAGGGAAGAGACGGAGGCATCTACCCAACACTGAATCCCAGGAGCCAGTTCTGGGATGTGAAGTCTCTTCTCCTCCCAAGGTTGGCTTTCCTGTGCTCTTAGGAAACAACTCCAGGCAAGTGTGATGGCGTGTGATGGCTACCCATGGTTGCCAACACCTCAGAGGAAGGACCCTCAACTGAGGGATCACTCCCATCATGCCCTACCCACGGCCTGTGGGCACAGCAGTGGGTGTGTCCTTGACCCCCAGCTCATGGTACTACCCATAAGCAGGCGGCCTGGAAAAGGAAGGTGGCCGGATGGCAGCCTGAGAGCAAGCCAGAAAGGCTTCTCTACCTCAGCTCTTGTCTGAGTTCCTTTCGGGGATGGCCTATGCTCTGAAGTGTCAAATGAAAGCACACCTTTCCTGCCCTAACTGCTTTTGGCTTCTGTTTATCAAGGCAACAGAAAGCTCCTAGAACAAGATGGAAGACTTCTATAAAGACCAGAGCCTCCAGGCTGGTCCTCCTGAAGACTCCGGGAAGTCCACCTAGCACCAGGCTAGCCCAGAAGCAGATGCCGCTGGGGAAACCAGGGACTTGCACAGCCTCTCATAGCCTGGGAACCAATCTGTTCGCATGGCTTCTCTCGCGTGTGCACACACAGGAAAACTGCCTTAGGAAGGCAAGATGCCATTTCGTACCTCAGCTGCTAAGAGCAAAGGGGCTCACCAGCAAGAGGCTAGACACCTAGACGGGGTAAAACTATGTCCTCTAAATCACAGCCGATGACAGTGACGTCAGCTCCTCACCTCAGTCCCATGGGAGCCCACAGGAGCCACCTGGCTTGCTACAGCTCACCCACTCATCCCAACCTGGTTCTCTACAGGCATAGGGATGTGGGTGAATGCTAATTTCTAAGTCTGCTTTAAATATATACTGCCATTAAGAGGGTCTTAAGCAGCAAAAGGAAATTCACAGATAATAGCAGACACACCAGGACTTTGGGAACACAGATGGTTTTAAATAAGAACAATGTATATCTGTGATGACGTTCCACTGTTACAGACCTTCAGGCTCTGTTATGTGAGAACCAGAATGGCTTCTAAGTTTAAGCCTGGGAGAGTCAAAACTACGGCAACTGTCGGCAATTTTGGTGACTTCACACGCCAACCGACCGATACTTAGTATTTAGCATCAGTTCCTGAAGATTCTACTTGGTAGAACCAGCAGGAATTTCCAAAAATCAGCACCTCTTACAAAGGGAAAAAGACACAGGTTCACTGCTCTTCTCTGCAAGATACCCACCCAAACAACATTCGTCTTTTCTGAGGGTCAAACAACCTCCCCCGTCTTCAGAAGCCGGGATTGATTGAGAAAACAAGCCACAAAAATTACAACAGCTGCTAGCCTGAACACTTCGTGACATGGGGCCAAAATAGACACCCTAAATGACAAACATCTGAAGAGGGTGGATCTTTATCAGAGAGCCTAATCAAACCTCAAGAACCAACACAATCCCCAATTAGCATACTAATCTCCACGTGTACAACATCAGAACTGCTCTGGACCTTTCCTGAGTCACTCTGAGGATGGAGACGTTATCCACAGCCTAGAACAGCACTGCAGAGTAAAGGTCTCATTTGGAATACACAGCGCTCTTGTGGGAGACTGTGTGTGAAATGCAACCCAGGTTTAACCGGTTACCATGCTGCTGAACTTAAAAGAAATGAGAAAGAATTGGGATTTGGGGTCTTTCAGAAACATCTTGGGATTGTGAAAGATGGCACCAAGCCAAGAGGCTACCAAAGTCCTCATCCAATGTCACAGACTCATAGTCTTCAAGATGGGCCGTGACCCAGAGACAAGGCCCAGAAATCATTATAAACTAATGAAGAACAGAATCATCCCCTCGATGTGCTAGAACCCACATGCAGCATCTGGTTTGGTCCACGGGTGTGTCTCTGTCCCCAACTTTTGCTGCTCATCTCTGTAGAGATGGCATGGATCTGCCCATTACCCCCAAAATACAACTTCTGACCCAAGAGGGCTCTACATCCCTACAGAGGGTTCTCCAAGCCTGCTTGCCCACCAGGGTCACAGGGAGGAGTGCTTTGTAAAACATGTGACATGGGACAGAGAGATGGCTCAACAAGTGAACACACCACCAAGTCCCACAACCTGAGACCCACAAAGTAGAAAACTGACTCCTGTTGTCCTCTGACCTCCACGAATGTGTCAAGTATGCACACGCATTCAAAGACGAGTAAATGCATTCTTTTTTTTTAAAGTAAGACACTTTCATCCATAATATTTGAAGGTCTATTCTATGTTAGTGTTATAAATATCAGAAATGAAAACAGAAAAAAAAAAATTTCCCGTGTCTTCATAGAGAAGACTCAGCAGAATGCCAAAGAATTAAAATAACTGCCAGCAGTAGTGGTGCATACCACTGATCCCAGACCTAGTGAGGCAGAGGCAGGAAGATCTCAGTGAGTTCAAGACCAACCTGGTCTACAGGAGAGTTCCAGGACAGCCAGGGCTACCCGCAGAAATCCTGTCTATTATTATAAGGGTAATAAGCATCAGGGTGTGAGGGTATTTTTCCTTTTCATCCAACTGCTCACAGAGTGAATGAACTCAGGCATCGGTGTTCACGGAGGCAGGGTTCCCCACTCTTGACCTCACACTTGCAATCCTCCTGCCTCGGCCTCCTGAGTCTTGGGCATATGGCGCACACACATCCAGTTGAGGAATGTGCCTTCCTAAACTATTTATTACTTGTTATTACTGGGGTGAGGGGGGATGCAAACAGAGGTCGAAGGTCAGAGGTCAGAGGAGACTCTGCAGTCAGTCTGCTCCTCCCCACGCGCTTCCCAGGGACCGACCTCGGGTCAGGAATGCCGCAGGACCAACGCCTTTGCTGGCTGCGCCGTCTCACTGGCCTGGAGAGAGCATTGTTAAGGATTGGTTCCAGCGCTGCTCACCCGGCACTGCACCAGGACCGTTATTGATGAGGCT